AAATACCTGTTCCATGTTATACCTAAGATGTTTGATATGCAGACAGATAGTGAAGTTAAGCTTAACAGCCTAAGTTGTATGATAATAACAATAAGCTTGTCTTCTGGAGGTTAACAACCTAAGTTTTCAGACCAAAATTAGAGGCTACATCATCTTTAAAAGAGCAAGGTATTCCACTGGACTATTGGCTCATTCTAAATTTGGTCATTCAAACAATTTAGCACAACCATCTACCCTAAGTGAAAATGAACTATACAATTTTTAGTCACCCAAATTCCCTTTCCTCATTGAATAAATACATGGCAAATAATTTCGTGAAAAGGAAGTAAAAAATTTATCTCACTGTGATCTTTCTCCACATTAATTCTAATTGAATGAAACTGCTGAAAGAAACAAGATATTAGAACAGGTTGGCACCCTTTCATGGAAAGAGTAAATATTTTAGAGTTTGCAGGTTATAGAATCTATGTAACTACTAAATGACTGTAATGCAAAAATACTGTAAGTAATAGGAAAATAACGAATAGCCAAAGCCAAGTTTAAAAATGACTTTATTTACAAACACATAAAATTAACTTTTACATAATTTTCACATCATAAAATATCACTCTTTGATTTCTTTTTTCTTTTAATAATTTAAACATGTGAAAACCACTCTTGATTCTTAGCTCAAGGCCAAATTTAGCCCAAAGGTGGAGTTCACCAACACTATGCCAGTTATTCTTTAATTTTGTAACAATCATATGAAATGACTAATAGAAAATGACACCTATCTCAGTAGTTGGTACATAGTAATTATCTTGATCAGTTGGTACATAGTAGTAATTACTTGATACATAGTGGTAAAGGACATAATTCTCTAATCTATTTTTATCCCTCTTCCTCATTTATCCAGTCAACAAATATTATTTCATTCAAAAAATATATATGAGTTGCTTAGCATATACAGATACAGTTTAAATGCAGAAGATGAAGTAATACATTCTATAAAAAGGGGTGTAACATTAGACCTATTAATTTCACAGAATAGTTTTAGAATTAAAAGAAAATGATGTATATGAAAATTGCTAAGCATCATATCAGCAATTCTCAATCTTTTTGGTTTCAGGGCTCCATTCTACTCTTACAATTATGGAGTAAATTTTTAAATGTTTTTATTTATTTGAGAAAAATGCACAAACACATATATATTTGCTATATTCAAAACTGTAACAAAATATTTAAAATATGTATTTTCTAGTTTATTTAAAACAAAAATAATAAAGTCAATACGTGTCAGCATAACTATCCTATGGTATAAAAACTGTCTTGTTTTACTAACGATATTACCTGTCAAAAAATTTTGTGAGAAGACAGGTACTATTATGTATTTTTACAGATCTCGTTAATCCCTGTTTGGTTTTTTTGTTTCCTTGTTTTTGTTTTTGTATTTTTTAGGGAAGTGTCTACAGGGTTGTCAGGGTCTCACTACTAGATTGGACTTGTAGTGATCTGCCTGTTTACAGCCTCCTAAGAGCTGAGATTACAGGTGCACCCCACCCCACCACTCCCAGTCTCAATTGCCATCTCAGCACGCCCCGGGAGTGGGACCAGCATGGCAGGCCCAGGAATCGAACCCCCAGCCCCTGTGCCTGCTGGCAGGTGCCTTAATCTGCTGAGCTATTTGGCTGGCCCTAATCCTTGGTTTCTCAAATCCACTTCTTTTTCATTGCACTGCTATATTTGTATCAGCTATAGGACATGAAAAAAAATCAACCTCGCATAAATAAATTGTTGGAAAGAAGGTTATTTCAATACCTTTTCCAGATGGGTGTAGATACTCTTTCATACTTCAGCAAAAATTTAAGTGATAGGTAAGATGCAATATGTATTTAGAAACCACATTAATAAATTTGTACTAATGCTAGTCATGGTGGTACATACCTGTAATTTTTGCTCTTAGGAGGTGAGGTAGCAGGATTGCCACAAGTTCAAGACTACCCTGAACTCCATAGCAAGACCCTGTCTCAAAAAATTTATACGGTTACTACAAATTCACATACCTCTTTGTTTTCTCCACTACTGGGGATTGAGCACAGCACCTTTGCACTGTAGTACATATTAACCCTTACAATTTTTAATTTTGGGACATAATCTTGCTAAGCTGATAAATTGCCCATGATGAGCTCAAATTTGACATTTTCCTACTTCCACCTGCCAGACTGCTATGATTACAGGTATGTGCCATCACGCGTGGCTTTTATCTTGCACATGAATAAATCTTTTTCCATCTTTGATGTTGACCTCATATGGTCACAGAGATTTTTAGTCCTCAATTTGAGCACAACTATGCCACATACTGCTTATTAATTTCAAAGATATACATTGCGTTGTTATCATTTGTTCGTCATATTTCTGAGTCAGAGATACAAACCAACCCCAAAACAGACTTAACATGACCCTTTTCTTCTTAGAGCACACGTTTGTTAGTTTGCTATTCTTTTTAATGAAGGTGAAGCAGTCCCCACTACCACAAATTATGCAGATGAGTTTCCTGCACTTGGGGAAATTGCAGGGCTCACTACATCTATAGTGCAAAGAATAAACCTCACCCTGGTAAAACCACCTTTAGGGGCATGATATCTCCTCTGCCAGGCTATTATTAACCCATAGTTTTTAAAATATATTTCCTTGGAGGGTTTTTGACCATATAAATTTCTTCTCCCAAACGAACCTATTTTGAAAGCCAGAAAATTTCCATCTCCAGCCATACTAGGAAATACGTGCTCTTCAAAGGAAAAGAAGTATGGTACTTTCTCAGGTATGCATGTGAATGTGCGGCAATAAAACTTGTTTACACACATACTTCCTGTACTGCTTTATCATTTCCACTGCTATAATAACTCATCCAGATAGATGAGTAATACCCATCATCTTCACAAAGATGATGTATCATCTTTCTTCCAAAAAATTCCAGAATCTCCTGTATCGCCTCCAACCTCCTCTATTCTCCCAGGCACAGATTCATAATAAACTATTACTTCATAAAGTGATCTCACGCATCAACTCCTTGAACTCTGCTCACATTAATGAAGCTAGGATGAGTTGAGACTGGGGAAATCCCCAACACTTTCTGTGGTAGATGTTTTTCTTTTTTTATCCAGCCCTTTTTCTTTTCTTCACGCTTAGTCAACATTATGTTATAATGTTCAGCTTGATAGCCTACTTTCCCAATCTGCATGAGAAGACAGATGGCAAGATCCAAAAAGTGGAAATCATTTTGTATTACTTAGAATTTAATCCAAAGATATAAATCAAATTTTACTACTCAGAAGAGAAACTTCCTGATGCTGGAGATGAGTGATTGTGGTGATGTTCATATTTATAAATATTGCATTTTCTGCTTTAATTAAAGTAGATGCTACATGAATGTTAAATTATAAATGAGGTAAATCCAGATCTGAAGAATTACTTTACTAACTTTAATTGAAAATTTCAGAGATACGAAGGAGACAGCACAGAAGATGAGATGCCTTACAACTGTGGGAGGGGTGGATGCTCCTGCTGTGAACCAGACCTAAAGACCTAAAGGCCAAACAAATGCTAAACAAGTAGCACCTGGGATTGATATTCTATTATTATTTTTGTTTTTGTTTTTGTTTTTGTTTTTATTTTTGCGGAACCGGGGATTGAACTCAGGCCCTTGCACTTGCCAGGGAAGCGCTTATTCCACTGAGCCATCTCCCCAGCCCCTGATATTCTAAATAGATATCAATCACCTGGAAAGACCCAAGTGAGTCACTAGCCCAACCCCCAACAGAAAGAGACCCTGTCCTGCATTCCAACCCCCAACAGGAAAAGACCCTGTCCCTTATTCATGCCTGCTTGCTACGTGACTCGCTTTCCCATTTGATACTGGATTTAATGTTTTACCTGAGCAATGGTGCTTGTAATCCCATTGGTTGACCACAGTTTTGTCCCACCTCCTTCCCACCTAAGCAAGTTCCCATTCTCTCTACCTTAACCCCACAAGGTTTTAGACTATAAAAGTCCTTGAAAGAGACAGCTTCCTGGGGAACTACCCGCTTGGGCCCCCCTCCTCTCCCTCTCTTTGACAGGAGTTTTCTTTCTCTAAATAAATATATTCTGCTCATAAAAAAAAGAAAATTTCAGAGATAAACATATCTGTGGCAATAAATTATACTCAAGACAAAAACGACCAATTGAACTTCTAGTTCAAAGTTCAAAGTATAGGATAACCATTAATGAATACTGAGTATTTTGATTTTTACTATATTACTTTTGAAAAATTCAGTAATATAAGAGAAATGATTTAATTAAAAATTTGGATATAAAATTCGTTATTAAAATTGCAACTACAAAACACACACACCAAAAAAAAACCTAATGCACAACTTTATAAAATGAAGAAAATAAACCAGAACACTTGCAGTAATAGTTCACCTCAATAGTTTTAGCTCCTAGTACACAACAATTATTTGTTGTTCTTGAATAAGTATTAAAATTAGAAATGAAGTCATCTATTTTCTACTTTGTTGTAATTATATATAACTCCCATAGTGAAAACATTACAAGGAAACTTTATTTATTTTATTTTTGAAGAGCAAAATATATTTACTGAGGGAAAGAAAGCTTCTTCCTAGGGCTGGGTAGATGGCTCAATGGAATAAGCGCTTGCCCGGCAAGCACAAGGGTCTGAGTTCAATCCCCGGTTCCACAAAAAAAAAAAAAAAAAAAAAACACTTCTTCACATGAGAGAGACAGACAGAGCAACTTTAGAAAATGCCTAATCTTTCCTCTTACAAATGAGAACAGTGTAATGAGAAGAGTAAGACTTCCCAGATCCAACTGTTTTAAGTATTGAAATGGATCATAGGTATATCCAAAACAACTACCACAGTTCTTGGCACCTAATAGAACTTAAATAATGTTAGCTGGCTTTCCTCCCTCCTTTCTTTTTTTTTTTTTTTTCCAAAGTTTTATTGACAAACAGATAGCAATGAGACAGTTTCAAATCATATCAGAAGGACAGTTTCAACAAATAATACACTGCATACATTCTTCTTAGTGATTAATTGCTGTACAAGATGCGGACTTGTGATCCTATTTACAAACACCATTAGAACAAATCATTCTATTCA